TGATGGTACATGGAGGGGATTGTAATTCTTGCAATGAAACAAAATATGATTTGTTGCGTGTAAAACTGATGATGAGACCTGTAAACTTTCACTCAACTCACCATAAAAGCTTTCAAAAAAGATAGAATTTAAAAAATTCAAAAATGAAAAATGATACATTAAATACATACCAATATGGAAGAAAGGAAAATTAATTAGCTGATTTTGAATTACCTTAAACATGCATTTTTACCCACTACAATACACAAAAATAACAATACAACAGCAAACTTTGGGTCCGACAAATCTGTGCCACATTTTGACTTTATTACTTAACTGCTCTTGAGAAAGACTGAGTCTTTTCTTTCCTTTGGGTTCTACACCTCCAGGTCTTTCTACACTTCCTTATAAAATTTTACTTTGTCTTATTAAATTTTCTGTTCTGTTCTTTGACTTTCTCATTCTTTCCATTTGCCTTTGCATCTCTATGCTGGAGAGCAAGTTTCAGAGTCTCTTCTGACATCCATTTTCGTCTTTTCCTTCTCTCTTATCTTCTTAAAGACCTTTTGCTTTCTTCCTGTATGATGTTCTTGATGTCACCCCACAACTTTTCTTGGTTTGGGTCACTAGTGTCTCATGCATCAAATCTGTGCTTGAAATGATCTCTGAATTCAGGTGGGATATTTTCAAGGCCATATTTTTGTGCTCCTGGACTTGTTTCAATTTTCTTCAGCTTCAGCCTGAACTTGCTTATGAGCAATTTAATGGTCTATTCCCATCTTGTTTTAGCTGATTATGTGGAGGTTGTCCACCATCTTTTCCCACAGATGTAGTCAATTTGATTTCTGTGTATTCCATCTGGTGAAGTCCATGTGTATCGTTGCATCTTATTGTTATTTTTTTTAATGAACATTGTCATGTTTTAATTTGTCAAGTCAGTTGATAGAGACACGAAGATGGCAAGATTCTATCTCAGACAAAGTTTGGTAAATTCACCTTGACAGTTGAGGAGGTCTCTTCCATCCTCTTCTCAGGTTGCACATAAATCACCCAGTGGAGTTTCAAGAACACAGAACTGTCAGTGTATTTGTTGTTCATGATATTTCAAGCAGTATCTGCTTGTCTTGCAAAAGAGCTAGTATTTATAAGTGTATTGGTTAATAATGGATGAACTGCTGTTTGGCCATTCCGGTGGAATAAAGATGGCAAACGATATTAGGAAGAAAGAGACAGAGCCCTCAACATTGTAGTCTGTTATTTCAATGTTAGGTGCTGGTGAGTCTGCTTTGACTCATTGTGATCCTGTACACAACTGAAGGAAACACTGTCTGTCCTGGGTCACCCTCACAATCGGTAACGTTTTAGATCACTGTTGCTGTCCCTTAGTCAATCCATCTCTTTAGGAGTCTTATTCTTTTTCGCTGACCCCCACTTTACCAAACATGATGTCCTTCTCCAGGGTCTCTTCCCTCCTGGTAATATGTCCAAAATATGAAAGACGAAGTCTGGCCATCCTGGCTTCTAAGAAACATTCTGACTGCATGTCTTCCAATGCATATTTGTGTGTTCTGATAATTCATGGTACTTTTAATATTCTTCTTCAGTACCGTAATTCAAATGAATCAATTATTCTATGGTTTTCTTTATTCGGTGTCCAACTCATGCATATGAGGCATACCATGACATGGGTCAGAGAAAACTTAATCCTGAAAGTCTTCTCTTTAGTAATTAACACTTTTTTTTTTTCTTTTTAAGTTTTTATTGTGAATTGAGTGATAGTTTACATGCAGAAGCATCAGGTATTTTGGGTTTTTTTTAGCTTTAACGCCAAGGATTTTTTTTTTTTAATGTTTTATTGTGAATTATGTGATAGTTTACATGGGAGAACATTAGTTTTACATTCATCCTATCATATATTGTTTCATTGCTACAGTTACAATTCCCTCCATGCATCATCAAACAACCAAAGGGTATACCCCACAACCCTGCCCCCCAGTCGTCAGCACATAGCCCCTCTCCCTCTCTGTGTCTAAAGTCCCCAACTGCTCCATCTCTCCACGTCATTGTCTCTGCCTCCATCTCAGGCATCACTGCTTCTCTGGGTAGGGTCCCGCTCTCCGCTCTTCTCCCTTGATGGTCCCAGGGACCTCCACTCCTAGGCTGAAAAGTTAGTCACTCCCCTTCTTGCTACAAAACGTTTACCTTTACATTTCCAACCCTCACAAGCAGGTCTGATAATAACTATTCACCATTGTATTACAAGAGACCCATCCGCATTTCATTTCATCAGCCCCGCCTAGACAGATTGTATACTACTCAGTGGAGATTCTATCTTCCTTCACACACTCTGAACCTAGGTTCCCTCTTGAAAGCTTGTAAGCCAGTCACTTCTTGCCTTTGTAGCCTCCCCACCCCCCATTTTGGGTAGCCAATGTCCAAGTTGCCCATCCCTGTCTACTCTGTGTATGGAGGGGGTGGGACTGATCCTTGCTGTAAGGATTTGTTCCCTCTTTTGAGTTACTGCAGCCATAGGTGTAGGTCAAGTTCATCATATTGTATCAGGTTACTCTTTACTCTTTTTTTTTCCCCCCTCTTCTATCTTCTTCTAATTGAGCTCTGATCATCCAGTCATTGAAGTCAGGTTAAGTGGGTATTGTCTGCAAGTGAGGGTGTTCTTGCGCATATGCTCTCTTATCAGCTGGGTGCTTCACTCTCCACTCTAGTCCTCTGTGGCTATGTCACTGACTCTGGACCCAAGCGTCCACAGGTCTTGCCACACTGCTGGCCAGCCAGGTCTCCACTCGGGCTCACACAGTCTGTTGAATATTGTAGGGCTTAGCTGGCAGCTTCATTGCTGTTTTTCCCTCACTTCCCCTTATCGGTGACGAGCGTGGTCACCAATCAGAGCGTGTATTCCCCTTGAGTCTTAATCTTGGAAGGGGGTTTACACTGAGGGGACCCAACTACTTGCCTTGATGTCTCCTGGGCAAGCAACTTACTTGTTCTTGTAGTAACAGTCGGTCTGCTTATGTTGTTTTGTTGTGCCTTATGTTTTAAAAAGGTGTTTGGAATGAGTAAGTCATCAGTCTTGCAAAACTCTATCATATCATCTCCAGCTTCATTTCTATTACCAAGGCCACATTTTCCAACTACTGATTCTTATCTTGGTTTCCAACCTTTGCATTCCAATCACCAGCAATTACCAATACATCTTAATTGCATGTTTAATCTTTATTCTTTAACACTTTAAAGATGTCTTGTGCAAAGGATTGACTAATGCCATATGGCGGTTGGTTTCTTGACTGCTGCTTCCATGAGTGTTGATTGTGAATCCAAACAAAATGAAGTTATTTACAACTTCAATCTTTTTTCCATTTATCATGTTATTTATGGACTCAGTGGTGAAGATTTTTGTTTTCTTTACATTGAGGTAAAATCCATACTGTAGTCTTTGATCTTAATAAGTAAATATTCCTTTTCACTTCCAGTAAGCAAAGCTGTATCATTACATATCATTCATCATTATTGGTTTTAGTGGTTGGTGCATAAATTTGAATAATAACAGTATTAACTGTCTTCCTTATAAGAGTATGGATATTACTCTATCATATTCAGCACTGTACTTAAAGAAAGACTTTCAAATGAGTTTTTCTTTAACAAATGTGATGCAATTCCTCTTCAGTTTGTAATTCTTAGCATAATAAACTATATGATTGTCCAATTCAAAATTGTCGATTTGATGCCAGTTCACTTCAGCTCACTAATACATAGGATATCAATATTTATGTTCCATTTTATTTTTGACAAATTCTAATTTTCCTCCTTCATACTTTGTATGCTCCATATTCTGATTATTAATGGATGTTTGCAGCCATTTCTTCTCATTTTGAGTTGTGTCCCATCAGCAAATGAAGGTCCCCAAAGATGTGCTCCACTCACATCAAAGTCGACTCTACTTTGAGACAATTCTTCCCCAGTCATATTTTGCATGCCTTCCAAGCTGAGGGGTTCATCTTCCAATACACTATCTGATGATGTTCTGCTGCTCTTCATAAGGTTTTCAGTAGCTAACCTTTCAGAAGTGGTTTGCCTTTTCTTCTTCCTCATCTGTCTAAGTCTGGAAACTCTGCTGAAACCTGTACACCCTGCTGATATTGAACAAAGCAGTGGCATCGCTTCCTTCCAACACTACAGCAACACACAAGTCACCACAATCCAGCAAAATGACAGATGTTCAACACCATAAACGGTGACTATACACGTGGACCTCACCAGATGGAATTCACAGGAATCCAGTGAAGTACATTTGTGGGAAAAGAAGATGGAGTAGTTTAATCTCATCAGACAAAACAAGGGGCCATCGATTGTTCATATGGAAGTTCAGGTGGAAGACGAAGAAAACTAAAACATGTTTAAGAGAGCTAAAGTAAGACCGTGAATGTAGGGACCATCTCAGTAACAGATTTGATCCAGCAGGCACTAACGACTGAGGACCAGAACAGGTGTGGGATGATATCAAGAGCATCATACACGAAGAAAACAAAGTGTCATTAAAAAGACAGGAAAACCCCCCCCACAACAACCACCAGTGTGAGACTAAATCTATATCATTTGAGATCTTAGGATCTGTCACATAGTAGGGATCCTGGTGTAGTGCTGCAGGATAAGCAATGGATCACAAGGTTGGTTTGAACTGCAAGGTTGGCAGTTCAAATCTACCCGTCGCTCCTCAGAAACCCTATAAATGGTTGCTATGAGTCAGAGTTGATTCAGCAGTACTAATCAACAATCAACAAAAAGTGGCCGTTGACAAATGTTTGAAAAATACTATATGATTCCACCTATAAGAATAGGCATATGCATAGAAGATAAAAGTTTATTAGTGGTTACTAGGAACAGACAGAGGAGGGATGATCAGCTATTGTTTAAGAAGTGCTGAGTTTCTGTTTGTGCTGACAAAAACCTTTGTTAGTGGTGATAGTGGTGTGGTTGTATATCATGGTAATGTGATTACAGTCACTGAATTGTATGCTTGAAGTGGCGATTTCTGATATATATATATACTCACCACAATAAAATTAAAAAGGGGGGGTCAACAAAAAGTCATAAAAGACAGTGGGAGTTCTGGTCAGTTTTTGGTTATAAGTAAATACAGGTTTCTAGTCCATTCCCTCAGTGACCTGAAAGGTCTTTTGGGCACAGTGATGTGTACCCAGGGGAAAGTTCCCCACTAAAGACTGCATTTTCCGAACCCATTGCTTTGCATAAATAGCAATGAAGAATGGAAAAATGTTCCAGAGGGGAAAAACGCAATGCCATTTACAATAGCATCAAAAATATGAAATACATAGGGAAGTAAAATTTTTGATTAAGATACTGCCCTAGTTTTCTAGGCCAGAGCCCAGGTGGTGTTGTAGGATAAGTACTCGACTGCTAGTGGCAAGGTCAACCATTCCAACCTACCAGCTACTCTGCAGGAAAAAGGTGAGGCTTTCTGTTCTTGTCAAGATTTTCAGCCTCGGATACCCAACATAGGGTTGCTATGAGTCAGAATCAGCTAGATGGCAGTGGGAGAGTAAGTTACATGGTTGTTGTTAAGTGCTGTTGAGTTGGTTCAGGCCCATAGCAATCTTGTATAGGGTTTCTGAGGAGCAGCTGGTGAGTTCGAACTGCTGACCTTGTGGTTCAAATCGACTTTGCAGTCCAGCGCATTAACCCACAGAGCCATACCAGGACTCCTAAATTACATTAGGAGGCTTGAAATGCAATTCAGAGAGCTGCCTCTAGGTAAAGGCTTTCTCTGTGTTTCCTGGTTCTAGGAAGTTCCCAGCACTGGGACCCTGCGTCCAAAGGACATGTTCCATTCCAGGCTCTTCTTTTTTAGATGGTAGTAGGGTCCCCTCTCTCTCTGCTTTCAACTCCCCCCTTTCATCTCTTGGGAGATAAAAGGAGATACAGGCCACACACCAGGGAAATTCCCCTTACGTCTGAGCAGGACTTCCCTTTACATCAGATCAGAGCTGACTATATAGTTCACTTCACGGGTGATGATTGCATCACTATGTAAGTGCCAAATGCCTAAGAATTATGGTCCAGCCACATTGACACATATTTCAACCCTTGACAGATGCTGTGGTGTAGTGAATTATTTAATATGTCTCTTCTAGCCTTAGTCTTTGTAACTCCCACCAAGCAACTCTTTTTCTGATGGGTCTCTATAAAAGAAGGTAGGAGAAGATCCTCATAGGGTGATATCATTAAGTTGTGAATGGATGTTAACACAGTTCATTGTCAAAAGTTGGAACTCTAACATGTATAAAATGAGTCACCTTAGCAGTAGTGTTGTTGTTGTTGGTAAGTGTAGGAGGGGCTATTTCAGTACCATCCCAGAACAGGAAAGCACCAGGAGTGTGGCGCGCATCCTTTGGATCCCAGGATCCGTATGCACTGAACTTTCATAACCCAGGGTCAGAGAGCTGTGATGCCCGAGAAATCAGAGGAGGAGCAGTGGCAGAGACAGAGCATGAGGCAGAGTGAAAGGCTTCCCGGTCTACGCAGCAAGTTAACTGAGTGACTTTGGGCCTCCAGGCACTTAATTGGGGGAGTTAGGTTTACTGACCCACAGAGCCAGAAACAAGTGCATTCAGACAGAGGCATATGGTGGAGTAGTGTGTCCTGTGGGCATTCATTAGCAGCTCTAGAAGATCTTTGTAACACTGGCTGGGCAGCGAGAGGCCTGCCTGTGGGCACAGCTGAGGAGAAGCTGTCCTGATTGGAAGAACACTTCTGACTTTGAACTGCACCACGCTAACTTCCCTAACTCCGTAACTGTGAGCTTGGTGTCTGAATTCTGTGTGGTCATCACAGTGAAATATCGAACCCAGAGGAGAGGTACAATGTGCTGTGGGAGGAATTGGTGGTGCCATTAATTTTTACAGATGCCAAAGAAGACAAATAGTTTTTGTTTTTTTTTTAAATAAATGAATGTAGGACATTAAAAAAAAAAAAGCAAACAAGCATCAGTAACAAAAAAGAAACTGTGTAAATGCTTCACTAAACTGCCATTAAGGACAACATTATGGAAAACACAAAGCTGAAGATGTTTATTAATCTAATGACGATAACAATTACCCATCATGAACTGTAGACTTTTATTAGTAAAGAGCTACTTACTTGAGTTTCTTGCAGAAGGAGAATGGCTCATTTGCTCCAGGGATACATTACTGAGAGGTGTTACCAGCTTCTCCATGGGAAAGTCATTGTCTACAGGCAGTACCTTCCCCTTAGGCCTGCTAAAGAGGTCCATGAAGTCCATTCGTTGCCTGGATTCTTGGAGGAAACTCTCAAAAGTTTTGTCTTTGGATCTCAGAGAGGAAAAGAGTGAGAGTTTTCTGTGTGGCACTCTAGAAGCATCTTGCAAGGTATCTTGCAAACTTACTTTCTCCAGGAGTGTGGGGACGTCTTCTATTTTGCTGCAGGGTGGAGACATAGGCTTAGGAAAGATCTTGCATGGATGGTTGGGCAAACTGTGTGTGCAGAAAGCAAGGTCAGGAGGGCTAGGGTCTGAGGCTTGGGCAGCCCAGGCAGTGGGGGTTCCCAGGGAGAAGAAGGAGGAGGCCCTGCTTGCCATGTCTCTCCCCTGGGACTGCTGGTTCCAGTCTTTTTGGTAACTGGTATTCCGTAGGCTGAGTGAGCGAGTACAAATGTGAGGTTGGCTGGTGGGCAAAGTCTTTGATTTGGGCTTGGGCCAGACCTTCTTCCCATTTTCTGAGTTGGGGAGGAGGGGCTCCAGGGACCTTTTGATTGCATTTGCTATGAGACGCAGGGGAGACTTGGGTGGAGCTGTGTTTCGCTCTCCGGGACACTGTTCAGTCAGGGTCCCCACCTTCTCCTGAGAGTTTTTGCAGGAAGACAGTGTTTCTCTAGTTGCCTGAGGAAGTGTCAAGGGACAGACAGGTTTCAGGACACGACCACCTCTACAACTCTCAGAACGTCTCTGGGAAAGTTGCTCCCCAACGCTAAGCGGCAAGCTCCCTGAGAGGGAATCACTATTCCAATCCAGCAAGTTGGTCTTCTGTTCCTGAGTGAGGACTAACTTCTTTAAACTGGACTTCTCCTCTGCCATTTCTGTCCCTCTCTCGCCTCCTCTAGGTTCAGTACTATTGCCTCTTATGTCTCCTCCAGTCTTGAGAGGGAGCTGTTGGTCCTTTTCTCCAATGGAGAGTGGGCCTCTGTGGATGCTTCTAGTGTTTCCCAAAGAGGCCTCCACTTCCTGATACCCCTCACAAGCCCTCTCTCCAGGGCTGTTTGGTTTGGGGTTTGTGCAGCCATCATCACCAGGGCTCCCCAGGCAGTAATCTGCTCGTTCCAGGACTCCATGGTGAGGCAGATACAGGGGAATTTCTTCGGGTGTTCCTTCAGCTCTGGTTTGCTTCAGGAAGATTGTTCTGGAGCTACTGAAAGGACCTACTGACTCATATGAGGGATGGCTGCAATCTGTTACCTAGAGGAGAGGACAAAAATAGCAGTTATTTAACAATTTCCATAATTATTCATAAGAGAGATGGTACATTTCAGTTCACATCCCCTTTCCTTACTCTCCGCTCTTAACAAGTTCTTCTTCGGATTTCAGATATTCAAATATTTCTGTCTAGATAGATTTCAAAGGGCCACTTTCTGTTTTAAGTGACTTGTCTTAGGAACTGTCTCAGGAATCTCTTTGGGACCTTGACATTATTACTCACCAAAGGCTTCCCAAATCCTGGATTAGATAGGTAGGAAGTCATAAAGGAAGGCAAAGGCATTGACTCTCCTCTTGACAAGTTCCTCGGTCAAGGTGAATAGGACTGGTTCAATCTTCATAGGTTGTCAGACACATAGGGAGGACAAGCCTACCCATACCCCTGCCCTTAGCTTGCTTAGCTGTGGTCCCTAAAAATTCCTATACATTCCTTCAATGGGAAAGAAGCAAAGGTTTCTTTCTTGGAGAGTATTATGGACTGGAACTGTGGTTGGTGGAAGGATAGCCTTTATGACTTCCAATTACTGTTTTGCATTTGACTTACACCTGCACCATTGAGAAAGTAGCAATTTCCAGTAAGTATGAACCAAAAATACAGCTGGACCCTAGAATTAGTGTCTGTACCCTGACAAGAGCTCTGGTATGTGAACGGAAGATCATGAGGATATGGACTTCACAAGAACGTGAACCTTTTCTGTCTCGTGAAGTCTACTTTCTAGAACCTAGAACAGGATTCACCCAGGTAATAGGAGCTTCATAATTGTACACTAAAAGAAAGTGTCCAGTCTTGTATACCTCAATAATGTCATTTTCTATTGAAGGAGATGCTGCTTCCAAGTCTGTATGGATGCTATCAAAGGCACCCTTACTCTGTCTCTGTGTCTGCCATCCTTCAGCTGTGAGCTCCTCAAAGCCCTCTGTGAGGTCCTTAAAGGCAGAGAATGTGTCCCAGCATCTCTGCATTCCAGGATCCGGATCAGTACCTGGCAGACAGTCTCTATCCCGTAAGCATGGCTCAGTGAGTGACTGCAAAGGAGCAGGATGAACATTCACAGAAGCACAACTGAAGAGGTCCTGGGTAGAACCTTGACAGAACTTTCCTCTGGACCTTGCTTTTCACTCAGGATGACCTCAAAGTGCTTGGAAACCAGAGCTCAGTATGGAAGGTGGGAAGAACAGAGACATTCACCTTTCCTGTGCTTGGGTCACAGTCACTTACCTGAGGTGAGGAAGAACCACTGGAAGCACTGCCTGGAATGCTGGCTGAAGAAGAAGATGGTGAGGAAGATGAAGAAGACAATAAAGGAGAAGTGTCTTTTGGAGACAAGATAGTTCTTTTGTTGTTCACTGACAGCAAATCTACCGAGGAAAGAACACATTTCCATTAAAGAGATGTTATTGCCTTATTCTATCATAAAAGAGGAAGCTTTAAATGAAACTCCAATTCTATAAACAGAGTCAGTGAGAGGGAAATTGCAAAGACTGATCTGGAGGTTCTAGATGCCCATGGCTCACAACTTATAGGAACGGGGGTAAGAATGATTGGACCCTGTTGGGGGAAGTAGATCCCAGGAAGAGAAGTCCAAAAGCCATTGTCTGGAAGACTCATGTGAGCATGTTCCCAAGACATGGGACCAGGAAGTCTCCAGAGTGTTTCTTGAAAATGGACACCTACCTTTAAAGTTGCCATTAAAGTCACTGTGGTAGGGGGCTGGGGCTGCAGAAGCAGTGGAGCTCTGTGTTAAATCATTTAGTCAATAAAGCCATCTGAGGTCTCTTCCCACAAGATGCTGGACCATGAGTTGTGGGCATGGACAGGACAGACATTCACTGCTAATGAAATGGTCTCTTCCTTATCACATGTGCACCAAGGGGCTCTCAGACAAGATTTGAGGAGAACATAAGTGAAGGAGATTACAATAAGTATCAAATCATTTGAAGCACTAGGGAGCAGGGTCCATGCCAAGCTCTGGAGCAAACAGGATGCAGTGTGCATGCTCAGAACAACGTGAGAAAGGAGTGTCGCTGGGGTCCTGAGGCTGCGTCAGATTCCTAACTGTGGGGAGCTAAAATCAATTAGTCTAGTTACTGCTGAATCCTGACATTGTGGTCTAGGAGAACTAGTCAATCACTTTCAATTTCTCTCCCTCTCTGCTTTACACGTGCACAAATATACACACACATACACTGTCTCCCTCCCTCCCTTTCTCCCTTTTCCTCCTTTCTTCCATCCCTCGGATGGATGACATTTTCTCTCCATATTGGACCATTTCAGAGAATTTGTATTTGAATGGATTCAGAAAATATCATGCACAATTTTATATTTGCAGGCCAGCCAGCACTCCCGTGAACCATCCCAGCACATATAGGGTGTTCCCTAGAAACTATCCAAGAACCGAATTGTAACTACCCCACTCTCTGGCCCTTAAAGAGACCTCTAGCAGATCAGTCCATTACAATATGTCATTTGATCTCCTGACTGCCACTCCCATGAGTGTTGACAGTGGGTCCAAGCAAAATGAAGTCTTTGACACCTTCAGTCTTTTCTCCATTTATCAGGAGGCTATTTATTGGTCCAGTGGTGAGAATTTTTATTTAATTTTTACACTGAAGTGCAACTCATGCTGAAGGCTGTGGTCTTTGATCTTCATCAGTAAGTATTTTAAGTCATCTTCACTTTCAGTAAGCAAGGTTGTAACATCTGCATTATCACAGATGATGCTACACTTTGCTTCACATAATCCAACTTTCTGGATTATTTGCTCAGCATACAGATTGATTAAGTAGGTGAAAGAAACCTTGACGTACACCTTTCCTAATTTTAAATCATTCAGTGTCCCCTTTTTCTGTTTGAAAAGACCTCTTGGTCTGTGTACAGGTTTCTCATGAACACAATTAAGTGTCTTGGAATACTCATTCTCTGCAATGTTACCCATAGCTTGTCATGATCTACACAGTGGAAAGCCTTTGTGTAGTCAATAAAGCACAGGTAAACATATTTCTCATTATTCTCTCTTTTCAGCCAAGATCCATCTGACATCAGCAATGATATCCCTCGTTTCACCTCCTTGTCTGAATCCAGCTTGAACCTCTGAAAGTTCCCTGCCAGTGTACTGTTGCCGTCATTTTTAAATTACCTTTAGAAAAATTTTACTTGCATATGATATTAATGATATTATCGGATGATTTCTACATTCTGTTGGATCATAAATATGAATCTCTTCCAATCAGTTGGACAGGTAGCTGTCTTACAAATTTCAGTACTGAATCAGTTTGTTGAAAGATTTCAATTTGTATTCCATCGATTCTCGGACACTTGCTCTTTGTCAGTGCCTTCAGTGCAGCTTGGACTTCTTCCTTCAGTTCCACTGGCTCTTGACCATGTTCTATCGCTTGCAATGGCCACTTCATATCTCACTAATACCTAGGATATTGATCTTTATGCATTCCATTTCATTTTTGACAACTTCCAATTTTTCTTGATTCATACTTTGTATATTCCATGTTCTGATTATTAAAGGCTATTTATAGCTGTTTCTCCTCATTTTGAGTTGTGCCTCACCCACAAAAAAGATCCTAAAAACTTTACTCCATTCGTGTCATCACGGTCAACTGTACTTTGAGAAGGCAGCTCTTCCCCAATCGTATTTTGAGTACTTTCTCTTGTAACACTGTATCTGATAATATTTTGGTGTTCTTCATAAAGTTTCAGTATTCAATAATCTGGTACTGTCTGATAGTGTTTCACTGCTATTTATAAAATTTATAGTGACTCAACATTCAGAAGTAGTTTGTCTCTCCTTCTTCCTAGTCTGTCTTAGTCTTGAAGCTCAGCTGAAACCTATCTACCATGGGTGTACTTCCTGCACACGACCTCTTTAAAGTGCACCAGAGCAAAGATGTCAGTTTGAGGACTTGGGTGTATCTGATCCAAGCCAAGGATTTTCCAATAGCCTCATATGCATGTGAAAAGTTGGACAATGTATACGGAAGACAGTAGGATTGATGCATTTGAGTTATGCTGTTGGAGAAGAATCTTAAAGGTACTAAACTGCCAAAAGGACAAACAAATCTATGTTGGAAGAAGTAGAGTTACAGTGCTCCTTAGAAGCCGGGATGGTCAGACTTTGTCTCCCATGCTTTGGACATATTATCAGGAGGGGCCAGTCCCAGGAGAAGGATATTATGCTGGGTAAAGTGGAGGGCCAGTGAAAAAGAGGCAGAACCCCAGCAAAATGGATTGGCACAGTGGTAATCTTAACAAAGTGTCCAGCTTAACAAAGATTGTAAGGATGATGCAGGACTGGGCAGTCTTTCGTTGTTATGCATAAGTTTGCTATGATTCGGAACCAACTCGATGACACCACACAACAAAAACAGCAACTCTTTTGTCAGCCTCTGGACCTGCTTCTGACTGCTCAGTTAATCCATTCAGATTTCTGACCTGATTCAGGCTTCAAATTTTAACTTGTTTTTTGGCCCAACACAATCCCTTGGTTTCAGTTTCTCCAAAGCTTTGTGTGAAAGGCTCTTCCTCAGGATCCCACACAGGTTAGGCTAAACCCAAATCCACAAGAAGAAGAGTTCCATCAAAACTCACTTCTATAGGACAAGCACACTGGTGGGTTTTCACCATTCTGTCCAAATGCCGACAGAACCCAGTCTTGGGTTCTGAAAAGATAACTACCACAAGCAGTGATCAGCAAACTCCTAGAGGGAAGTGCCCCCTAAATACTTCAGAAGGAAAAGGTAAGTGAGGGGAATAGATCTGAGGGTGAGCAGGAAGTACATGGTGGGGGCGGCTGCTGGCCTGCCTGCCTGCCTGCCTGTTACCAACACATCCATCTCAGCCCACAAGTAGATGGTTCAAGCCTAAAAAGGCAAAAGTTTGTGTCAGTTGTTGCCTTCCTTCCTGTCCTTAGCTTGCCAAATTCCTGCCAAATAAATTCCTTTTCCTTCTCTTCCTCGCCCCCTCACTTCTCTGTCTCTGCTACCTCCCATATCAAATCCCTTAACTTGCCTCAAAATCTCCTCAGCTTAACAAACTGCCTTTCTGTTCCCTCTAAGGAGCTTCAGGAAATCTGATGTGGTGCCAGGAACACCTTCAGAACCAAGCCTGATAAATAACCCTTGGGGTTTTCAAGGTCATGACCCGGAAGCTGTTGTTCCTCTTCTCCTTTCTCTACCGCCCCATTCACTGCCACAGCTAGGGAGAGTCTCTGTCTCCACACAGGGTCCTCATGCACGGTGAGGGAGCTAGAACTTGAGGAAAGATATGGAAAATGAAAGGAACAAAACACCCACACTAATCCCCTATACAGCATTCCAGTCATGATGGGCAGTGGACACAGTCTGAGGAATGGGGAGTGAGGCCAGAGCAAAGATGAGACACTATGGGCAGTCTCTCCTGCCTGAGACTGGCTATGTCTTCGGGTTACCTCAGAAGATGGCAGATAGGATCCTGGAATTCCCCCTTCATACTCACTCTGGTGTCTGACATTGGGCAAGTTTCCTAATGCCTCCGTTTCCTCATCTGAAAAATGGAAACCCTACAGATAGGATCCTGGAATCCCCCTTTCACACTCACTCTGGTGTGTGACATTGGGCACGTTTCCTAACTCCTCAGTTTCCTCATCTGAAAAATGGAAACCCAATCGCTGGAGGTGACTGTTGTTGTTGCCTTGTATAGGGTTTTTGAGGAGCGGTTGGTGAGTTTGAACCGCCAACCTTGCAGATCAAACAGACTTTGTAGTCCAGCGCATTAACCCACAAAAAGCACCATACCTGGACTTCTGGGGGGCGGGGGTAATGCATGGTAGCGGGAATTAAATGAAATAAAAAGAGGTGTTTGCAGTGCTGAGTGCAGAGTAAATACAATATACTGGCTCAACTTTAAAGTTTTCTTCTTCACTTCCTCCAGGCAGCCCCTGGTGGTGCAAGGCCCTAGTTCGTGCTCATCTCCTAACTGAAACCTTGGTGGTTTGAACTCATCTAGCAGCACCACGGAAGAAAGGCCTGGCTATTTGCCTCTGTAAAGATCACAGCCAAGAAAACCCTGTGGAGCACTTCTACTCTGGCACACTAGGGGTCGCTGTGAGTCAGAACTAACTTGGTGGTAATGTCTGTCATTTCCCTCTCCATTCCCTACATACAGTTGATGTCCAATAAAGACTTGCTGGACCCCTGACTCACCCCTGGCCAGGATTTGTCTAACCCTTGGACTCAGATGCCCTGCTTGTCCTCTGTTTAGTTCCCTGAAATCTCTGCATGGCCTCTGAAGGGGTCTTAGTCTTGGAATCCTGGAATCCGTTGAGGAAGGGTCTCCCCGCTGAGTAGAAGTGGTTGATGAGAGACCAGGG